CTTCATCATGTCTTCATTTATCACTGGGGTAGTGCTGGTTTTTCACATGGTTTCAAAGGCTCCAAAGAAGATAGGGACCATGGTGTCCTTGCCTCATTGGAAATGGTGAATCTTGTAAATGCTACAACAAGCATTGTGATTGAATTGGGAAAGTTAACAAGACTAAGAATGTTAAACATCGTGAAACTGAGAAAAAAACACGGAAAAGGATCTATCTCATCTTGTGAGGTGAGTGACACTATTGATTTGAACCCTTTTGTGTACATACTCATCCCTCCGAATACTGATCTTTGAAGGGCGTTTAGTGAGTTTACCACAATGGATAACGTCTCTACACGCATTAGTTGTAGTTCATTTGTGTTAAAGAATGACAAAAGCGGTGGTTAATGAGATGTGTGGGCTCCTTATAAGGTTTGGACAATCCTCCTCTTTTTGAGCTAGCTTTTGGGGGGTGAATTAAGCCTAAAACTTAATTTCACAATTTGAAATGGAGCAAGTTAGTTGACAATACACTACATGAAACACTTCAAGATTTTCCCAACCTTGTGAAACTAGTGCTAGACCGGGCCTATGAAGGCGAAAAATAAAGGTTTCAGGGTAGGTGGATTCAAGAAACACTTCAAGATTTTACAGACATATAGATTTTGAACTTCTGAACACGAGACTAGAGGTTGGCCCAATAGTTAAGGTTTAAAATTGTATTTTGAGTTTCTAGTTCAAATTTCAGGACTATGGGTGTCAATTTTCTCATGTTTGGTTGGGTTAAATGTTTTGGAAAATGTTTTCCAAATCAACTCATTTTCTTCAAATTTAAGGAAAATGACTTCCCTTCAAAACTTAAGGAAAACATTTTCCAAACCTCTCTTCCAACTTCAAAATTTCATTTTTTCACCCCTACCCTCAATCCCCCCACGCACCCACCCCCTACCAGCCCCCCACCCCCCCCCCCCCCCAAAAAAAAAAAATTAATTTTAAGTTTGTTTTTAAAAAATACTTTCAATTTCAAAATTTCATTTTTTCATCCCTACCCTCGACCCCCCACCCACCCACTCCCTACCAGCTCCCCCACCCCAAAAAATAATTTTTAAGTTTGTTTTTCAAAAATATTTTAAATTTCAAAATTTAATTTTTTTCACCCCTACCCACCCACCCGGCACCCCACCCACCCCCTACCAGCACCCCCCACCCCCCAAAAAAAAATATAAGTTCATTTTTAAAAAACTTTCAACTTCAAAATTTTATTTTTTCACCCCAACCCACGACCCCCCCACCCACCCCCTACCAGTCCCCACCTCCAAAAAAAAATTTAAGTTTGTTTTTTAAAAATATTTTCAATTTAAAAATTATTTTCTACTCTAATTAAAATAAAAGATATTTCTCAAAAATATTTTTCATTCATAAGTCAAACACTAAAAATCTTTTCCGGAAAATATTTTCTACTCACCAACCAAACATGAGAAAATAAGTCAAAAATCAACTTGTTTTCCAGGAAAATATTTTCTAGGAAAACATTTTCCTTCATACCAAACACACCCCATATTTTTATTTTTCGAACCCCTTAGAGCAAATCTTGAATCCATCATTACTTATAACCATAGCAAGCACACTTAGAAATAGAAAGTAACTAAGTCCAACCAAAAAAACAGTGAAAGTAAATACCTCGCTCAACAAAGACACATAACTACGAAAAACAATGAAGTAGTTGATTTTTTTTTTTCAATATAGTAGCAAAGATATGAAAGAAGAAATAAATATATATATTTTATAAAACCTGCAAATAAAGCACAATGAATATATAGTTATCTTAGCCACAAATATTCCAAAGTTCACCCGAATCCCCTTCCCTTGGAAAATTACATATTAATTGAGTTGTTTTCTCCACTTTGTATTTCCTTTTTTTATAACTACTTTGATTTGTTGCACTTGAGCTAAGGGTCTCCTGGTAAGAGCCGGTAGAGGTAAGGCTTGCATACACACTACCCTCCTTGCGGGATTACATCTGCTTGGTGAAAGTTATGTCTCTGCCACGGCTTATGAATGTTTTTTGTCCGTATGATATCTCATTAATCAAATGAACAAACCTGCATTTCTTTTTTCAGTCCATCTATCCTATCCTTGTACACTAAGAGAATCGATGGACCTGTAGACTATTTATAGGTTACAATAGTGAGGTACTAGCCAATAGAAACGCTCGATCCAACTGAGTCCGGGACCTTGGAAATGGTGAATCTTTTATATGCCACTAATGTTAGAAAATAGCATACACAGCGGAAGCATTCCAGAATCATACATCTTGCATGAATATAGACAACAATCACAAATACGCATCACATACAAAGTATGCTGAAAATTAACTCAGGATTACCTCTTGAAGCGTGTGCAGATATCTTGAAGTAAATCCGACTCCAGCTCTACGATCTTCTACAGTGATCCCAAATAACAATTGAACTCTCTCAATACTTAGGTGGACAATTATCGTATAGAATCTTGTTTTCTCTCTCCTTTTTTCTAGATCAGAAGAATCCCTACTTATAGAGATTTCTTCCTAGTCCAAAGAAGATTCCTTTTTCTTTCAAGAAAACCAAGAAACACGTTCCTTTTTTCTTTTTACCAGAAAATAAGATTCTGAATTCTAGTTAAATTGGGCACTGGAGGGACCACAAAATTTATTACTGAGGCTTCCTATTATGGAAATAATTCCAAACCATTAATTTGAATTATTCTTACCATAATAAATTACAAATCATTTCACTAGAAATTCGTAATTGCACTCCTCTATTTATATTTCGAAATTCACCATTAAACACTTATGTAATTCCCATGTTAAGATTCCAGATGCTAATCAATAAATTAAATTACTGACGAATTTAATTTAATGATTAATTTCCTTTAGAGCAATACTTAACTTATTTCATGTGCCAGATTTATAAATCTACCGGCTGGGTTTACACATGAAAACTTATAAGTTTCTCATAAAAAGATGTATCATCAATCTCTATACTGAGACATGGATTCCATCAACTAACTAATTATTTCACCAATATATATTATTATCATCCAATCTACCAGGCATATTGACCCATCTCAGAATCTCACCTTTTAATAAATCAAAACGATAATTAATAAATACAGATCATAATCCTTATATCAAGATTAAGAATATAAGTACATTTAACAGTTTAGAGAATATGTTTTTATCAGTCAGTCTAAAACATCTATCTCTGCTCGGTCCTGTTCAATACATACAATATGCACTAGCACGAGAAGTTAGAACTATATCATTCTCATAATCAAGATAAATTGCATTTAATCTCGTGCTACAATCTTTCGGATGGTTTTGTCCAAATTTCCATCTACGATTGTGAACTATAACTTTTAACTTATAAGAACCGATGATTTAATCTTTTGTGTATAAGCTTAAGCTCTATACACCAAATCATCTACTATATAAGTTAAGGACACATATATGACAATTGATCTATTTAATGTAACAATTTATTGAATTGAATAAATGAATAAACAATTGTTCAATAATAATACTATATCAAAACACATGGTTAATAGTATATCCTAACTACAACAGTGGTGGATCCAGGAATTAAGCTCAGGGTTAAAGAAAAAGCTCAAGTGGTAATGTAAGTGTGCGGTGAGCGTAGTAACCCCGACATGCTTTTTGTACAATATCTCATTGGTTGATAAAAGTTAACACCAAACTAATCAAAGATATTGAGAACAAAGCTATGTTGATAAAAAAAAATTAGTGGATCAGTTGGATTACATAAGTTAATTCCTAAAACACGTGAAAATTAAAGGATGAAAAAGGAAGTGAGACGGAGAAGAAAAATATTTACCTTAACCCACTAAATTTATATTACCTTATCGTACCGCATTAAGCATTTCTTCCTACTTTTACCCTGCTCTCCATTGAACATTCTTAAAATTTCTTGTACTTTTTATACCTTTAATTTGTAATGTTTTACTTTATTTTGCATTTTAAATTTTTTTAAATTAGTATCCATTCAAACACATATTACTAGGAAAATTATCAAGATTCTCTAAAAGTGTATAAGTATAGATTTACTAATATTATAATGCATATTCAAAAGATAAATAAATGGCATCGTCAATTTTTTAGTTCATGTAGTTTAATTTACTAGGTTAGTCATCACTTGTTGAAAAAAAATGACGAATAAATCAAATAAGTTAAGTTTCCATCTCTCGAAAATAGAATTGAAAAAATAGAAAAGAAATTCCATGAATTCTATTAAATATATATTATTAAAAGCATATTGACGATTTTTAGTTTTTTCATTCAATTACATCTAATTTATCTTTATATATATAATTTAGCATTTTTAAAGAGTTGTACATAAAATTATGTTGAAATAAAATGACTAATAGATATAAGAAGAATTAAAAAAATGTGTCTAATAAATTTAAACAAAAACAGATTAGAAAAAAAATAATGAAAAAGAGAAGATGATCCAAGTCCAAAAGTTGAGCCCAATTCCATGCATTAAAAACGGTAAAAATTAAGAAAAGAGGAATTGTTGCACATGAGACTCAAACTCACGACATAAAAGCCAGTGTTGAACCCCTTATCCATTGAGCTAAAGCTTCGCACTTATTTCAGGGGGTTCATTTTAACATATGTACACATAAAAACAGAATTTGGCCCTATATATATAACGTAATTTTTCGACCGAGGAGGTTCGGGTGAGCCCCTAAACTCAACCTAGGTCCGCCCCTGCACTACAAGCATTGTGATTGAATTGGGAAAGTTAACGAGACTACGAATGTTAAACCTCGTGAAACTTAGTAATAAGTAAAAGAGAAAACCACAAAATGAAGTAGATACTCTGAAAAACTGAAATAAACAAAAGCTAACAGTTTTAGTAATAAATATTGAAACTGGTGAATGAGCAATAGCTAAACTAATAAGAGTAAAGGTTATAACATTTAAGAAAAAAAAAAAAGTTCTTCCGTCATACATTAAGAAACTAATAAGTAAGTGATTTTGGAGATATCAATCTTTCTGTAAAAACATGTCCACCTTGAGACTTATCACATCGAGGCCATGATCTAAATGGTCTATCGACCGTCCTAATTGCATGCCCTCTAGTTACCCATCGAGACCATGATCTAAATGGTTTATTGACCGTCCTAAATGCGTGCCCTCTAGTTACAAGATTCACGCACCAGAATAACACTTCACCATCCAAAAACCTATATCTCGGTGAGGCATTATAAAATGGAATATCTTTTACTATAGTTAACAATGGCATCCAAGATTCCTTGACACCATATTCTTTCAATATCCATACCTTAAAAGTAGACTTTCCCGTAAAAAATGACTTAGAATGAGCACAAAGCATTCCTTCCAACACAGAAATGCCAACATTGTAGGGGCCTGACGTTAAGCTTACTATTTCCTCAGACAAAGGTATCTCTCCGTACACTTCATTTGAAATATTAAACGAAAACACCACAAATAAATTTCTTGAAACCTCGATCCAATGAAATGCCGCATGTATAAATGGCAAATAATCCATGGCATAAAACCAACGACGATTGGCACAAGGATGTTCATCAATGCTTCTCCAAGAGCCACCTTTCAACGCAAGAATTTCATTAGGATATTTGGGACGATGTGTGTTCTGGTGCATATGAAGGATCTTATACCCACCACTGCTTGAGTCATAACCCAAACCAAAACGAGAACCTCCATCCCAGGGACATCCTAGAGGGGGGAGTACTATTGATTCTCTTATGGAGGGGTTCCACAACAGATATATGAATTGATTGTTATCACAAATCTCGATAATAACTAAGCCATTGTAACAACAATGGATCATGCAATGCCTTGGTTTAAGGGTTGAAGGGCAATCAAGTTTAAGTTTTTGTACATCCTTAACCAGTTGAACTGGCGATAAAGGACAACAATATAGGGTGTATATATAATCCTTAGGGCACCATTGGTAGATAAGAAGCTTTTGGGAATCTTGGTCATTCTTGGCATGATTGAGATGCTTCATTGTAAAATAATGATAACAGCAAGGTTAAGGGAGATCACAAATAGAGAATTAAATATTAGAATGCGGAAGCACAAAGAAAAAAAACAAAAAAAACTAAATAAAGATATGGGAAATTCGAAGGAAAGATCCACGAATTTCCAAAGATTAGATGTTCTAAGGCCTTGAAAAGATCCAAGTAACAACGTATAGATTTATGGAAGAAATCTAACGCCTTTACTTGAGAAAACGAATCAAAACGATAGATTCGGATCTTGACCGCTTTATGAGTAACTAAAGACAATAATTAGTATGTAGAAACTAATCACCTTCTAAAGAATACCAAAAAGAAACCAAAGATATCACAAGAAGAAGTTACTTTATACCTTAAACTATGAAACTAGTAAATGTTTAAAGATAAATTCTCAAAGAACAAGTCACAAAGGTTCAAAGAACTCTCTCAAATATTATTAATATCAATCTAAATTGTCTTTAATGAATGAAAAGGACTCCTATATATAGGAGAAGGGAAAAACGTCCAAGAAGCCAAACCCTAAAAAAACAATTACAAGGAATCCTACTCTAGAAAGGAAATAAAGTAACCTAACTAGGAACACATTTAGTACTTCTAGGAAAGCATTAAATGGTACTTAGGAGACCATAAATAGACTAAGGGAAATATTAATAACCTATATATAAATAAATAAATAAGGTAAATCCCAACTAGGAAAAGAATCTTGACAATCTTGGAAAGTTTGACTAGTCTTCTCTCAAAACTTGGGCAGAAAGCAACTCTTGTTGTGGCTGATTCTTGGACTCTTCTTGACCTTTTTTGCACGAAATTGGACCTTAAAATTCCTCATCTTGGGCTTGAATTTGGGCCACCAAATAATTGTAGCATTTGGACAATTCCTCTCCCTTGGGCTTGAGCTCTTCTTCCCCAATAAGAAACCTTTGGATCAGCGATTGAAGCCCATTGAGCTTATCATTGAACTCCTTGGTTTGAGATCTTGTTATGGGCCTCCTTGGAGTTTCTAAAGCGTCATCCTTGTCCTTCAATGGAGTAGAGCTTCCTTGGATGCTATCATTCCCCTCTTCTTGAAGAGAATTCGTCCTCGAATTCAAATCTGCATCAAAATGGGAAAGATCAGAAACATTAAAAGTAGCACTAACTTGGAACTCACCAGGAAGATCAAGTTTATAAGCATTGTCTCCAATCCTTTCAAGGACTTTTATGGCCCACTTCCTCTAGGATCTAGTTTGGTCTTTCTTTTGGAAGGAAATCTTTCCTTTCGCATATGCACCCAAACCAAGTCACCAGGTTTAAAAACAACATATTTTCTGCCCTTATTCCTTCGCAATGCAACTTCCTTGTTCTTCTTTTCAATTGCAAGCCTTGTTTGTTCATGAATTTTCTTCATCATATCAGCCTTCTTCTTACCATCAAGATTAGCAAAATCATTAGTAGGCAAAGGCAATAAATCAAGGGGGGTAAGGGGGTTGAATCCATATACAACTTCAAAAGGAGTCTACCAGTAGAAGAATGGAATGTTCTATTATAAGCAAATTCTACAATAGGTAAGTAATCTTCCCAAGAAGTCAACTTTCCTTTCAAAATAGCCCTCAACATGTTCCCTAAAGTTCTATTAACCACTTCCGTTTGCCCGTCCGTTTGTGGGTGACAAGATGTAGAAAATAGCAATTTAGTTCCCAACTTTCCCCAAAGAATTCTCCAAAAGTGACTTAAGAACTTGGCATCCCTATCGCTAACAATAGTTCTAGGTATTCCATGCAATTTAACCACTTCCTTTACAAACAAGTCAGCCACATGAGATGCATCATTAGTCTTTTTACATGGGATAAAACGAGCCATTTTAGAAAATCTATCTACTACCACAAATATACTATCCTTACCATACTTAGTCCTTGGCAGCCCCAATATGAAATCCATAGAAATATCAATCCAAGGGGAATTAGAAACAGGTAAAGGAGTATAAAGACCATGCGGCAATGTTCTAGACTTAGCCTGTTTACATTCAAGACAATAAGAACACACTTTTTCAACATCCTTTCTCATGCTAGGCCAATAAAAATGTTCAGAAAGTATTTCCAGTGTTTTGGGTACACCAAAATGTCCCATTAGCCCTCCACAATGTGCTTCCCTAACAAATAGTTCACGCAACGAGCAGTTAGGAACACATAATTTATTTTCCTTGAATAGAAATTCATCTTGAAGATTAAATTTCTCAAAAGGACCTAACTTACATTCAGCAAAAATCTCACCAAAATCAGAATCATTAGCATAGAGGAACTTGATTTGGTCAAAACCCAATAACTTTGAAGTAAGAGTAGAGATCAAAACATACCTTCGAAGGAAAGATCCACGAATTTCCAAAGATTAGATGTTCTAAGGCCTTGAAAAGATCCAAGTAACAACGTATAGATTTATGGAAGAAATCTAACGCCTTTACTTGAGAAAACGAATCAAAACGATAGATTCGGATCTTGACCGCTTTATGAGTAACTAAAGACAATAATTAGTATGTAGAAACTAATCACCTTCTAAAGAATACCAAAAAGAAACCAAAGATATCACAAGAAGAAGTTACTTTATACCTTAAACTATGAAACTAGTAAAGGTTTAAAGATAAATTCTCAAAGAACAAGTCACAAAGGTTCAAAGAACTCTCTCAAATATTATTAATATCAATCTAAATTGTCTTTAATGAATGAAAAGGACTCCTATATATAGGAGAAGGGAAAAACGTCCAAGAAGCCAAACCCTAAAAAAAACAATTACAAGGAATCCTACTCTAGAAAGGAAATAAAGTAACCTAACTAGGAACACATTTAGTACTTCTAGGAAAGCATTAAATGGTACTTAGGAGACCATAAATAGACTAAGGGAAATATTAATAACCTATATATAATAAATAAATAAGGTAAATCCCAACTAGGAAAAGAATCTTGACAATCTTGGAAAGTTTGACTAGTCTTCTCTCAAAACTTGGGCAGAAAGCAACTCTTGTTGTGGCTGATTCTTGGACTCTTCTTGACCTTTTTTGCACGAAATTGGACCTTAAAATTCCTCATCTTGGGCTTGAATTTGGGCCACCAAATAATTGTAGCATTTGGACAATTCCTCTCCCTTGGGCTTGAGCTCTTCTTCCCCAATAAGAAACCTTTGGATCAGCGATTGAAGCCCATTGAGCTTATCATTGAACTCCTTGGTTTGAGATCTTGTTATGGGCCTCCTTGGAGTTTCTAAAGCGTCATCCTTGTCCTTCAATGGAGTAGAGCTTCCTTGGATGCTATCAAATAAGGATCAGATATCAATGTTGTCCAAAATTTGGAAACGGATTTGAATCGAACAATAGACCGCACAGGTAACTTGCTGAGGATGTTAACAAGTATTTCCTCCGGAAACTGAACCTTGACCTAGATAGAACAAGAAAGACAATTTTTATAAAGTATTTTTTGAATCGGCCATAGCAAGCAGAATATAAAAACAAAACAATGAAAGCTGATCCAGAGACTTTTGAATCACAAAATTAGAAAAATAGTATGTTTAATCAACAAATTTACCGAATCATCAACGTCCATCTGATGAATTGAGGGCGGGGTCTTCTTCCCTAATTTAAGTAAAAATTTGTTGTTAGTTATAAAGGACAATAGAGCAGAAAAGATAGAATTAGCCTTTCCCTTCGTCTTCTGTTTCTTACAAGACCAATTCTCTGGTAATTCTCCATCATTCTTCCTTTTCTGCGCCATCGCAACACTCCATTTCGATTTTCTAGGGTTTCTATGGATATATGTAATTCACTGCTTCTTCTTTTTTTCTATTTTGATTTCGTTCGGGTCGGATTCTTTAAAATTCCCAATTTGATTTGGTTTCATACTTTCTTCTTTTTATTTATTTTTTGTAAAAAAAATCAATGCCATATTTCTTAGTTTATGTTTTAGGTTTTTGAAGAAAAAAAATTAAACAAATGCATGCACGAAAGCTCTTTTTTTTTTTTTACTAAAAGTTTTTTAGATTATAATCTCTAATTTATTTAAATTGAGCTTTACCATATGTAGAATTATCCATATTAGCAGCTCCATTTTTGCAAAAAAATATTGCAATATTAAAGTAACATCAAGATATTTAATGCTACAAATATTATTGAATATGATGAAACTAATGCAGTTAATTTCTTACTTCATAAACTTTCTTTTTTCCTTTGAAAAAAAACAAAAAAGAAACACGTTACGTTGATTTTTCAAATGGATAATTGGCGCATCAAACATAGAACTTAGGAATTCAGGGACAATAGTAGAAGTAATTATTTTTAATAATTTCTTTTTTCTTTTTTTTTCAACTATATAGAAAAATTTGAGCCATAAAGAGATAAAATTGACTCAAATCTATCTATCTATCTATATATATATATATATATATATATAATGTTGGATAACAAAAGTCTGACGTGACACCTCTCTTTGGCCAGGATTCTCATTTATCTTTTTTTGTCAATTTTTTTAATTCTTTTAATCTCTAATATCTGCCAAAAGAAGAAAAAAATATTTAAAATATCTTATTTATCTCTCCTCATTATTACTACAATTTATTATTTTTATCTCTCTTCACCATTACTATAATTAATTACTTATCCTTAAATTCCTCTTTTTACCTTCTATATTTTTAATTTTCTAAAAATTCTGATTTGTTTATCCTTTTTATTATTATAATTTAAAATTATAGTTTTTAATTCTACAATCTTCTAAAAATAAAATATCTTATTTATCTCTCTTTTACTATTACTTATTACCATAAACGTTTTATTTACTATAATTAATTATTTTTCCTTAAATTCCATTTTTTGTTGTAAAACAAGAGGAAAATATATAATAATATTAAAAAAGTAAGGAAAGACAATGGTGATGAAAAGTATAAAGTTGAGAGCTTTATTTATTCTCTTCAAGTGTGTATTTCTTAAGGGTGAAGAAGACTCTTTTATAAGAGGTAGAAATCTTCCATTTACTGCCTTAACCAAATACGTTAGTAATTTTTAATTTTTACATTAAATTAATACATGCATTACGTTAGGTTGATGAAAAGAAACATCCATATTAAATGAATTTGTAACACTCCCCCTTGGATGTTTATAGATAATGTGTCTCGTTAAAACCTTACTAGGAAAAACCCAATGGGAAAAAGCCTAGTGAAGGAAAAAGAGTACACACATCTTGTAATACACATTGAATGCTGCCTCATTAAAAACCTTACCAAGAAAATCCAGTGGGACAAAACCTTGGCTAAGGGAAAAAGAGTACAACGCGTATTTTACTTCCCCTGATAAAAAAATTATTTGATATCTTGGAGATGACGCATTCCAATCTTGTATCTTAGCTTCTCAAATGTTGATGTTGGCAATGCGTTAGTGAATAAATCTGCAAGATTATCACTCGAACGAATCTGTTGAACTTCTATCTCACCATTTTGTTGAAGATCATGTGTGAAAAAGAACTTAGGTGAAATATGTTTTGTTCGGTCTCCTTTGATATATCCTCCCTTTAATTGAGCTATGCAAGCAACATTATTTTCATACAATATTGTTGGGATCTTTGTTTGCACAGAAAGATCGCATAATTGCAAAATGTGTTGAGTCATTAATCTCAACCATACACACTTTCGACTGGCCTCATGAATGGCTATTATTTCTGCGTGATTTGAAGAAGTAGCAACTATTGTTTGTTTCATCGAACGCCATGATATAGTTGTACCTCCATGTGAATAAATAGTTTTTCTGAGATCGGACTTTATGTGGATCAGACAAATAGCTAGCATCTGCATAACCGATCAATTCTGACTTGGATGCATTAGAATACAACCATCCCATATCAATTGTTCCTTGAAGATATCTGAATATATGATTAACTCCTTTCAAATGTATTCTTGTTGGACATGAGCTGAATCTCGCCAATAAACTTACCACGAAACAAATATCTGGACGGGTAATGCTGGCAAGGTACATTAGTGCCCCAATAGCACTGAGATATGGTGTTTCATCACCAAGAAGCTCTTCATCATTTTCTTGAGGTCGGAATGGACCTTTATTTATGTCAAGAGATCTCACAACCATCGGGGTACTCAATGAGTGTGATTTATTCATATAAATCACTTCAAAACCTTTTTAGTATATGTTGATTGATGGATAAATATTTCATTTGTCAAATGTTCAATCTGAAGGCCAAGACAAAATTATATCTTACCAAGATCTTTCATTTCGAATTCTTTCTTCAAACAATTAACGGCTTTTGAAAGCTCTTCAGGAGTTCCAATGATGTTGAAGTCATCAACATAAACATATATTATTACAAATTCAAATTCAGATTTTGACCTTCGTATAAAAATACAAGGACAAATAGGGTCATTCTTATACCTTCCTTTAGCAAGTATTCGCTAAGACGATTATACCACATTCGCCCTGATTGTTTCAATCCATATAAGGATTTCTGAAGCTTTATTGAACAACTTTCTTTTGAATTTTTATATGCTACAGGCACTTTGAGTGCTTCAAGGATTTTCATAAAAATATCATGGTCTAGTGAGCCATATAAATAGGCTGTGACAACGTCCATTAGATGCATTTCAAGATTTTCATGATGAACTGTCATATTTATCAAATACCTGAAGGTAATTGCATCTACCATAGGAGAATATGTCTCCTCATAATCAATGTCAGGCCTTTGCGAAAATCTTTGTGCCACAAGTCGTGCTTTATATCTTACGACTTTACCATTTTCATTGCGTTTTCACACAAAAACCCGTTTGTACCCCACAATTCACTGCTTCTTCTTTTTTCCTATTTTGATTTGGTTCGGGTCGGATTCTTTAAGATTCCCAATTTGATTTGGTTTCATACTTTCTTCTTTTCATTTATTTTTTTGTAAAAAAATCAATGCCATATTTCTTAGTTTATGTTTTAGGTTTTTGAAGAAAAAAATTTAAACAAATGCATGCACGAAAGCTCTTCTTTTCTTTTACTAAAAAAAAGTTTTTTAGATTATAATCTCTAATTTATTTAAATTGAGCTTTACCATCTGTAGAATTAATTTTATTCTTTTATCTTTTGAATTAAATCCATATTAGCAACTCCATTTTTGCAAAAAAAAATATTGCAATATTAAAGTAACATCAACATATTTAATGCTACAAATATTATTGAAACTAATGCAGTTAATTGATAAATTAATCTAGAATTTTAACGAGACTACGAATGTTAAACCTCGTGAAACTTAGTAATAAGTAAAAGAGAAGACCACAAAATGAGGTAGATACTCTGAAAAACTGAAATAAACAAAAGCTAACAGTTTTAGTAATAAATATTGAAACTGGTGAATGAGCAATAGCTAAACTAATAAGAGTAAAGGTTATAACATTTAAGAAAAAAAAAAAAGTTCTTCCGTCATACATTAAGAAACTAATAAGTAAGTGATTTTGGAGATATCAATCTTTCTGTAAAAACATGTCCACCTTGAGACTTATCACATCGAGGCCATGATCTAAATGGTCTATCGACCGTCCTAATTGCATGCCCTCTAGTTACCCATCGAGACCATGATCTAAATGGTTTATTGACCGTCCTAAATGCGTGCCCTCTAGTTACAAGATTCACGCACCAGAATAACACTTCACCATCCAAAAACCTATATCTCGGTGAGGCATTATAAAATGGAATATCTTTTACTATAGTTAACAATGGCATCCAAGATTCCTTGACACCATACTCTTTCAATATCCATACCTTAAAAGTAGACTTTCCCGTAAAAAAGGACCTAGAATGAGCACAAAGCATTCCTTCCAACACAGAAATGCCAACATTGTAGGGGCCTGGTGTCAAGCTTACTATTTCCTCTGACAAAGGTATCTCTCCGTACACTTCATTTGAAATATTAAACGAAAACACCACAAATAAATTTCTTGAAACCTCGATCCAATGAAATTCCGCATGTATAAATGGCAAATAATCCATGGCATAAAACCAACGGCGATTGGCACGAGGATGTTCATCAATACTTCTCCAAGAGCCACCTTTCAATGCAAGAATTTCATTAGGATATTTGGGACGATGTGTGTTCTGGTGCATATGAATGATCTTATACCCACCACTGCTTAAGTCATAACCCAAACCAAAACGAGAACCTCCATCCCGGGGACATCCTAGAGGGGGGAGTACTATTGATTCTCTTATGGAGGGGTTCCACAACAGATATATGAATCGATTGTTATCACAAATCTCGATAATAACTAAGTCATTGTAACAACAATGGATCATGCAATGCCTTGGTTTAAGGGTTGAAGGGCAATCAAGTTTAAGTTTTTGTACATCCTTAACCAGTTGAATCGGCGATAAAGGACAACAATATAGGGTGTATATATAATCCTTAGGGCACCATTGGTAGATAAGAAGCTTTTGGGAATCTTGGTCATTCTTGGCATGATTGAGATGCTTCATTGTAAAATAAGGATCAAATATCAATGTTGTCCAAAATTTGGAAACGGATTTGAATCGAACAATAGACCGCACAGGTAACCTGCTGAGGATGTTAACAAGTATTTCCTCCGGAAACTGAACCTTGACCTAGATAGAACAAGAAAGACAATATTTATAAAGTATTTTTTAAATCGGCCATAGCAAGCAGAATATAAAAACAAAACAATGAAAGCTGATCCAGAGACTTTTGAATCACAAAATTAGAAAAATAGTATGTTTAATCAACAAATTTACCGAATCATCAACGTCCAGGTGATGAATTGAGGGCGGGGTCTTCTTCCCTAATTTAAGTAAAAATTTGTTGTTGGTTATAAAGGACAATAGAGCAGAAAAGATAAAATTAGCCTTTCCCTTCGTCTTCTGTTTCTTACAAGACCAACTCTCTGCTAATTCTCCATCATTCTTCCTTTTCTGCGCCATCGCAACACTCGATTTGATTTTCTAGGGTTTCTATGGATATATGTTAGTAGTAATTCACTGTTGGCGCTTATATTCCTACTAGTTACAATAGCCCGTGCAAGTACAGGCCCAATATATGTTATTTTATTTTATTTAATTTATATGATACATATGAAATTAAGAAAGTCAATCAAATTTTTATATAATTTTTAAATACTTCAAGTTGTTAATTATTGTGTTTTATAATATTTTTAATGTAATTTTTAAAAAATATATGTTACTCCATTGTCTCAATTTATGTGACACATGTGAATTTTTGAGAGTCAATCAAAATTTTAATATATTTTTAAAAATATTTTAAGTTTATAAATTATGAGTATTTTAAATTAATGTATTAATTATTATGATTTATAATGCTTTTTAAGTAATTTTTCAAGTTAAATTTTAAGTATTTTAAAAATCGTCTTAATTATTATTACAATTTATAATACTTTTAAAGTAATTTTCAAATGATATATATTACTATTTCTGTCTCAATTTATCCGACACATGAAATTTTGAGATTTTCAACAAAAAATTTAATATGATTTTTTAAAATAAATTTGAGTTGTTAATACTTGTAATTTATATAATTTTAACGTAATTGTCAAATAATATTGTTATTCCCATTGTCCCATTTTATATAGCATGGGTGAAATTTGGAAGTCAAACAAACTTCGGATATATTTTTTAAATATCGTAAATTATTAATTATTATGACTAAAAATATATATTACGTTATTATTTTTACTATTCCAATTTTTATGACACAAATAAAAATTTTACAGTTAATTTTTTTTATCATTTTTTAAATAATTTCTTGTGGAGAAAATAGAATAAAATATATAGAGTAGTAGGGGAGGGAAATGGTAGAAATTTGCAAAAACAACTTTGGCAAAGTTTGTAGGAAAATACAGAAACATATACGTGTCAAATGAATGGAATAGGGTAGATAATGAAACTTAAATTCCAAAAATACCCTCTTGGCCGTAGGCTCTTCCTCTTAAATAATTAATTATTGTGATTTATAATACTTTAAATATAATTTTCAAATAATATATTTTATTCGTATGTCTTGAATGGCTTTGAATCAAGACAATTTTATTACCTTTATCTCATGACATTCTTAGTGTTAAGTAACTTAAAACAGATGAAATATCTATTTTTAATTTTGAAGCATATTGCAAAATAAAATAAAGCAAGTAATAAACTAATGCATCAAAATAAACAGATTTTCAATTAAAGAAAGTTATGATAAGACCTACGTGGCCATCTAGGGAAAAAAAAAAAGAGCTTGGTTTATATAATAAATTTGAGAAATTACCAAAGTAACCGCTTTACCCGAAGCTCCTCTCACAATTTTGATCGGTATTCAACTAAGGGCCCCGTTAAGTAAGATGGGAGCCAATACTTTCCTTACAGTCAAGTGGCCCAAGGGACGGGCTCCGCGTTCATTTCGTTGGCAACAACATTTGTATTTTCAAATAATATATGTTATCCATTTTGACAGCTCTAGTAATAGACCGATGAAGTGTGTTCTCAGTAGTCAGTAATCTCTTAGTATTTAATGAAACTTAGTTTCTCTTTTCGTAAATTGAGAAACTTGACCCCAAGCTCCTCTCTATTACTCTATATAGTAATATTTTTATTTGGTTCGGGTCGGGTCGGGTTCTTTAACATTCCCAATTTGATTTGGTTTCATACTTTCTTCTTTTTATTTGTTTTTTTTGTAAAAATTAGTAAACCGTTTTATCTTGAATTTAATTTCAAATACACACCGAAAAGGTATATTATTACAATTAGAATTTCTTTTTTAGAAAAAAGTCATATATTTTAGGAGTCAATATTATTAAAAAAAACAAATTATATATGTATAAGTAATTTGAGAAAAAATCTTACTATATTTGATAGGCCGGTTCGGGCAGATTCCTCAACATTCCCAATTTGATTTGGTACATACTTTCTTCTTTTTTTTTTTTTTTTTTTTTGTAAAAACTTAATTAAATGACAAATTAAAGATTTTTTATTACTAGTACTAACAGGACTTTCTAATTTTCAATATATAACATTTGATTTTTATTGATACTTAACAAATTAATAAATAAATTTTTAAAATAAAAATGAAAAACATTTTTTTTTAAAAAAAATCCTAACGTATTTTCCTTTAATTAACTAATATTCTTTCCATAAATATAATATTTTGTAACTTACAGAATATATTGATTCCCTAATTTAATCGGTTAAAAAGATCTTTCCTTCCTAAAATATCTCTCTCCAATATTTTCTCAACCTAATCTTCTTCCATAATTCAAGAAAAAATAATTGTCCTAATCTTCTTCCAAAAAAATAAATCTCTCTTCTTCCTAAAATATCTCCCCTTAATATTCTCACACAATTTTCTCCTTTAAATATAATCATACGATTTTTTTCCTTAGATTTTTCAAACACGATTTTTTCTTCGTCTTCCCTATTTGTCTTCTATACAATTTGTATGCTTTCATCCATGATTTTTTTTAATGAAGTTAAAACTCTTGAAAAGTAACAAAAACTATTATTATTAGAGAAAATGGTTAAATGACCCCCCAATCTATTACCGAATTTTCAACTACACACTTATAACGGAGATTCTATTACCCCTGAGCTATTTTAAAGTGGAATTATTTCCTCCCGGAAATGTCATTACCAGGCATGTGTCTTGTGGTGAAATACACGCACTTGACACATGTATCTCACCATCTAATATTTTTTTCTTGAAAAAAAGTTCTCCTCCTTCCTCTTCCTTTCTTTCCCAATCATTTTTTCAATTCTAACTATAATAAACATCATTTGTTACCTCAATAAATTTTTATATCTCAAATTCAAGTCACCTTTTCTTTTCCCCATTCTTTATTCTTTCTCCCTCTAAAATTTTCATGACTAATTTATAATTTGAGTTTTGAATTTTGATTCTTCATGGGTTTTAGGATAACATGTAGGATCCTTCTTTAAAAATGTAGAAGAAATTGTTTTGTTTTAGTTTCTTTTAATAAGTTTGAAGATATTTTTTAAATATACAATTACTTCACTTTGATTTTGTTACTCTTGAGTCCATGACTTTAAGAAAATAATAATTAATGGGTATGTTTTTAAAAAAATTAAATTTAATTTGTTAGATATGTTCTAAATAAGTATTGAAAAATTATTTATTCATAAAATGCATTAGTTGTTGATAATTTTTATACCAAACATCTATTGAAAAAGCTTCAACAATGATAATGGTGAAAAATGTATAGTTGTACAGATAAATAAGAAGAAAGAAAGAGAAAGAAAAAAGAAAATTAGAAAAAAAACGAATTTAAAAAAAAAAAATAGGCAACTCACTCTCTCAAAGAGAGTGACATACACTCTCTATGCCAACTCAGCACTTAGGGGGTTATTTATTACATTTTAAAGTAGTTCGGGAAGGGTAATAGGACCCCTATGAAGTATAAGCGTGTAGTTAGAAATCCGGTAATAGATTGTGGGGTCATTTGGCCATTTTCTCATTATTATTATTTTCCAGTATAAAAGATGCTAGTGTTCATTCAATCTTGATTCAATACGGTAATAGAAAAACATGAATTCTTAATTAAAACTGATAGCATAGTGTATGAAATTAGTATACAAATTGTATCAATTAAATAAATATCACAATTCATAGATACCAATTTGTATACCCATTTCATACACTAAAACACTTAATAAAATATAAAAATAGATGATCACCCGTTTGCATACCAACTTTCTCATACATTATACATATTACATACATGAAATTACTTTATAAACCGATTTCATTCATTATATAATCTTAAAGTATATCTCCTAAATTGGATATCACAATCCATAAATATTAATTTGTACAATAGTTTCATAAATAATTAATAACATAAAATATCTATTAAGCATCATTTTTTATAGTCATTATACACATTGCATATAAAACATGTTTGTATATAACTAATATATAAAAAGATTAAGTAAACCAATTTGTATATTTATTCCATACCATATATATATATATATATATAGTTTCAGATTATATATTGTTTACGTTCAAAAAGTATTATGTATTTGATCCATATAGTGCATAATTAAAAAAAAATTTGCTACCCGTTTTAATACCAAATGAATATGTTAATAACTCAACATAAATATCAATTTGTGTATGTAATGGGTATATAAACTGGTTCAAAATGGTAGATTAAGGCAAAACGTGAATACCGAATTTAATATAGTTTTCATACCTTTATAAAAACTTGGTAATATACAAATCTGTTGGATATTAATTTTCATACATAATTCGATAACCAATATTATTGTCAATTTTCAACTTGGCTTGATTTTTTCCAAATTTGAATTTCTTCACAACAAATTTTGATCCTTCTCAAGAGTCTTGGCATAGTTGTCACATCAAGTGGAACAAAATTATTTGATTTTTTAGGCAAAATAATCAAAATCAAATAAAATAATACAAAAACATAAAAATTGAATTATGGACTAAATATGATTGAATGTCGGATGAAACATAATGTTGGACGGCCTTCATTCCTCTGGTTATGACCATAGATTCTACCGAATATACCAATACCAATACTCCCTCTCAAATAGAACTTTCTTTCCATAGAAGCGGCTCTAATAGATCTTCGCCGATGCAGATCTCATTCAAGTCTCCAACAAGGGTTCATGGAAAGATCGGGAAATTTTTTTGAAATATAATTAAAGAATCACTAGTTGAAACTAACACACAATTAATATTACTACAATGGAGAGAAGATTCACAGGAGTTTCATCATGATTGTGATTTTTTCTTTAGAAGATTAAGGAGAGAAGCTTGAAATTTCGAGTAGTGTTACAGATTATTACCTTTAAGGAGACACGTAACATTAAAATTCCTAGATTGTAGTTAGATAATTACCTTGATAACTGTCATAAGAAATAATTCCTTTTATTTTCTCTTTCCA